TACTAGGGGAGCTATCTGGCATGCAGGGGACTGGCCTTTTCAGATTGATGCACATATCTTCGAGCGCGGGGGTCTGACACGGTAGTATCCAGCTCATGTAGCCGGGGACCTCGAGAGGGCAGAGAGCCTAAGGGAACACATATTCGTTCTGTGCAAGTACACGTATTTTCACACGCAGGGTGCACCAGCATCCTTTTGCAAACTAGACGACCCCAGATTCTTAGCCATCATCAATCCCACAGAGACAGATGTTTTGACTGTTCACAAAAGAGCCCGCTAACATGCTATCTCTTGAATCCGGCGAGCCCATTCAGCCAGATCACACCACCTCCAGGAACCTGTCACCCACCGAATTGGGGACAGCTGGTGCGTGTGTGGGTGCCGTGGGGGTGGGGGTGGGGGAGGGAGGAGCTTCAGGTCAGGTGCTGGAGAGCCCACGCTCTGCGCTCTGCGCCCACCCGCTATGCGGGAGCCTCGCTTTGTGCCTCTAGATGTCCCAGCTAAGCAGGAGATGTTTTTGTAAAGGCTTGACCCGAACACCCTTTGGCTCCAGGTGGAACCCATTTTCACTGGAAACCATCAAACGCTGGCTCTGCAGGGAATCCAGAGATCGATTCCAGAACCCTCTCTTTGTGCAAGTGAGGAATCCTAGGTTAGAAACAGACAAAACTGCTATGCTATAAATTCCTGAATGTGCATCTGAGGAGCTTCACACAGAGAGGGAAAGACTTGGGAGGAGACCAGTCCTCTAGGAACAAAATCATTGTCATCCAATGCAGCCACTGAGTGGGGAGAGGGGACCTCTGGTTTCCTGAGAAGCCCCTCTCCCAGGGGGATGCACACTAGGCAGGCTCTGCGGGGCCCCCAGCCTCCCTACCCAGCCTCCCGACCGGCTCTTAGGGCACAGCTTGCCCTGAGCAGGAAATCTCCAGGCTTTTCCATCTAGAAATGCATCCCCCCTTCCTGTGCCAGTGGGGAGACTTCCTCGGGACAGATCCACGGCCCGTTCTGTGCCAAACGCCGCTCTAGGTCCCGAGCAGGCGAGCCCGGAGCTGCTCGCACAGACACAGAGCCCAGGCTCCAATTCTCAGCTGAAGGAAGTCTGCTTCTGCGGTTTTCATTTTCCGGTTCCTGCCTTGAAAGACAGTTTTGGAACCTTGGGAGAAGGGACCTGGATTGGATGATGCATTAGGCTGAGATTTGCATGATAAAGGGGGAGCTGGTGAGGAGAAGTGGAGCCAGGAAGCAGTTGTGTGGGGGGATGGGAGGGTGGGGGGCCCTGCAGAGGTCTGGAGTCAGAAGTGAAATTGGTCCTGGGGCTGGTTCTGACGCTGTGGCATAGCAGGTAAAGCCTCCACCTGCAGTGCCAGCATCCCATATGGACGCCGGTTCGAGTCCCGGCTGCTCCGCTTCTGATCCAGCTCTCTGCTGTGGCCTGGGAAAGCAGTTGATGATGACCCAAGTCCTTGGGCCCCTGCACCCACGTGGGAAACCCAGAGGAAGCTCCTGGCTCCTGGCTTCGGAATGGTGCAGCTCCAGCCATTGCGGCCATCTGGGGAGTGAACCAGCAGATGGAAGACCCCCCCCCCCCCGTCCCTCTCTGTAACTCTGACTTTCAAATAAATACATCTTAAAAAAAAAAAAAGAAAAAGAAAGAAAGAAAGAAAGAAAGAAAGAAAGAAAGAAAGAAAGAAAGAAAGAAAGAAAGAAAGAAAGAAAGAAAATTGATCCTGTTCCTGGCACACAGAGAAGTTGAAGGTGAGAGGTGCGCGGGGCCTGGACCACAGGGAAGCTCAGGTGAGGGAGTTTTCTGGGGAAACTTGGTCTGATTTGCATTTCTCCAAGCTCTTTCTGGTTGCAGAGAAGAGAATGGAAACACCGAGGTAAGAGTGAGTGCAGGAACAACTCCACAGACCCTTGGGAGCAGCCGTGGAGGAGGAGAACCCTGGTTAGGGACAGGGATGAACTTAGAAGAAACAGTTGAGGCCTTCTTTAATTTTCTAATAAATTAACTAATTTGCAAAAAAGGAAGAGAGAGAGAGAGTTCTCCCATCTGCTGGTTCACTTCCCAAATGCCTGTAATGGCCGGGGTGGGCCAGGCTGAAGCCTGGAGTGGGGAACTCAGTTCAAGTCTCCCATGTGCGTACCTGAGCCCTCACCTGCTGCCTCCCGGGGTGCCTATTAGTGAGAAGCTGAAATCAGGAGCTGGAGCCGGGTCTCGGACCTAGGCATGCTGATGTGGAATGTGCAGGCATCTCAGGCTAGGCCAAGGGCTTCTTACTTAATGACCGAAAAGATGAAATGTGTAAGAGAAGCTTAGTATTTTCTAGAGCCACTTTGCTGGAAGCTGCAGAAGGGTAGGTCCTGTGCCATCACGTGTGTCACTGTGTGGGTGAGGCCCATCACAGGTGCACAGGGAGCAGCTCCCCGAGTTCATGGTCCATTGTGGTTGTTTCCTTTATTAAATTAATTTTTAAAAAATCGAGATGAGCACAATTCTTAGTGTAAGACGAAAGACCTCTATGTTAAGTGTTCAGTTTGATGCGCTCTCACTTGCACTGTGTTTTCCTGTGTCCAGTCCAGCCTGACCTAGCTGTGGCTTTGTGGTTCCGGCTCTTGCTTCTGTCTGTCTGCCCATGGCCAGGACTACAATTTGACCTCTCAGGTCTTGGTGGAGGGGGCTTGCAATCGACTTCCCATCCAAGTGCGGGGAACCGCTCAGGATGGGGCGCTTTGGGGGCCCTTCTGCCACTTGCTGGTACAGCATCAAGAGCCCCAGGCTGAGGCTGCAGCAACTTCAAGACCCCTCACACGAGTGTTTCATGGAACAAAGGAGATGGAGCCACAGGCATTGCTGAAGGAGCTCTTACTCCAGTTTGGATGGAAGGGTTACAGAAAAGGGCTAGGAGGGGCCTCAAAGGGTCTGAATTGAGCAGAGATCTGGGGACTGGGGGCAGGCAAAGAAACAAGAGAGGCCTTGAGGAGCCGGTGCTATGGCATAGCAGGTAAAGCCTCCACCTGCATCACTGGCATCCCATATGGGCGCCTGTTCTAGTCCAGGCTGCTCCACTTCTGATCCAGCTCTCTGCTGTGGCCTGGGAGATGGATAGTAGAAGATGGCCCAAGTCCTTGGGCTCCTGCACCTGCATGGGAGACCCAGAAGAAGCTCTTGGCTCCTGGCTTTGGATCAGCGCAGCTCCAGCCATTGCAGTCAATTGGGGAGTGAACCATCAGATGGAAGACCTCTCTCTCTCTCTCTCTTTCTCTGTGTAACTCTGACTTTCAAATAATAAATAAATCTTAAAAAAATAAAAAGAGAGGCCTTGACCTAAGGACAAGTTGGAGCATGCTGGAGAAAAATTAGTCAAAACTTGGCGGTGGGCACAGGATATGCCTGGGTGTCCTCTCCATCAGCCCTGGCTTTCTATTGAGTTTGCTATTTCATGACTCCTTAGGGACAGGGCTTGGCTTACAGATTTTTGCTTGGTAAAGATACAAGCGGTTTCTGTCCTGTGGAAAAAAATAACCACAGAGCTTACGATCTGTGACCCTGTAAGACATTGGCCAGTTCAGATTTTCACCTGGTGATTTTCCCCTAACTTTTCTTGATTAAATTGCTTATTGAATAACTTTTCAGATTCTCATTGGAATCAAATTTTAAAAATAATTTATGGGGCCGGTGCCGTGGCATAGTGGGTTAAAGCTGGAGCCAGCAGCTCCAGCGTCCCATATGGGCACCGGTTCGAATCCTGACTGCTCCTTTTCTGATCCAGCTCTCTGCTAAGGCCTGGGAAAGCAGTGGAAGATGGCCCAAGTCCTTAGGCCCCTGCACCCATGTGTGAGACCTGGAAGAAGCTCCTGGCTCCTGGCTTCATACCGGTGCAACTCCGGCCATTGTAGCCAGTTGGGGAGTGAACTAGCAGGTGGAAGACCTCTCTCTCTCTCTCTCTCTTTCTCTGCCTCTCCTTCCCTCTCTGTGTAGCTCTGACTTTTAAATAAATAAATGAAATACTTCTTTAAAACAATTTTATTCATTTATTTGAGAGGAAGAGAGAGAGAGAGAGAGAGAGAGAGACAAGATTCCATCTACTGGTTCACTCCCCAAGTGCCCAAAACAGATGGATTTGGGCTGAAGCCAGGAGCAAGGGCCTCATCCAGGGCTCCCAGGTAAGTGGTAGGAGCTCAACCACTTGAGCCATCACTATGGCCTCCCAGGGTTCACATTAGCAGGAAGCTGGAGTCAGGAATCAGATCTGGGAATTGAATCCAGGTACTCTGATATGATATATGGGCCTCTTCACTGCCATGTTAAATGCTTGTCTCTGGGAACAATTTCAATGTCTGCTTCCCTCATTAATTACCAAATTGGATGAAATCTGTGACATGTTTTCATAAGAGTCATCATTTATATTGCTTTGAAAGTGACCTTTGCTGGGGCCGGTGCTGTGACGTAGCGGGTAAAGCCGCCACCTGCAGTGCCGGCATCCTATATGGGCACTGGTTCCAGTCCTGGCTGCTCCACTTCCGGTCCAGCTCTCTGCTATGGCCTGGGAAAAGAGTGGAAGATGGCCCGAATCTTTGAGCCCCTGTACCCATGTGGGAGTCCTGGAGGAAGCTCCTGGCTCCTGGCTTTGGATCAGCACAGCTCTGGCCATTGCAGCCAGTTGGGGAGTGAACCAGCAGATGGAGGACCTCTCTCTGCCTCTCCTTCTCTCTCTGTGTAACTCTGACTTTCAAATAAATAAATAAATTTTTAAAAACCAAAAGTGGCCTCTGTGCAACCTCTTCCTCTGTCTGCCACTGTGGAGTTTCCTCCCCTTGTTCAGGTCCCCTGGAGCTCTGGGCTGGTGCTTGAGCGCCAGGGAGAGGTGCAA